AAAAAAAAAAAAAAAAAAAAAAATTTGAGCATTATTCCTGTTCTCTGATTTCAATGAGATTTGATGTGTTGAGAAGACGCCGCCTAAGAGTGAATAGCGCAGATTCTTAAGAAGCATTATAGGCTACAAGTTATTGTACAATGAAAATTATAGAGCAGCTGCCGGTTCGCGACCTTTCATAGAAAAATCTAAAAAAGACGCGTCTGAAAATTTAAAGAAAGACTTACAGATGAATTTAAAGAGAGAAGATAATAAATAAATAATGTTGCAACTTCTCTTAAGATGATCTTATCGTCGCACAACGGGCTTTGCAATTGCGCGCTTCCACTGAACGTCAAAAATCGCAAAGGAAAGAAATAAAATTAATTTTCAATACTGTCGGTTAATTGCATGCGAAAGTTGATAGGCCAATTAGCTTGCCCTGATTTCTTAAAAACCTTAGAGACTCGTTATATATTTTCCTAATAGGTTGGCTGTCCGTGATTAATGCCTAAACGAATTATTCAAATAACGAATTTTTATTTTACGGCAGCTAATCAACCATCAAAAATTTACAATTTAGAAATTATTCCTTCAACTTATATACTTTTTCTGCTTATTGAAATTAAAAATTGTTAACAAATTTTATTCTAATAATTTGTTTAATTACTGACTCTTCGGATAATATATTGATATATATATATATATATATATATATATGATATATGATATGATATGATATATATGTAATAAGCCATGTTTGTACAATTGTAAACCGCACTACTTTACTCATACATATATCATGCATACATAAAGGTCCTCATCATCTAGGTTTATTAATCACTATTATAAAATGTTATATACAACTGCTAATTGTATCAAGTTTGTTAAGAATTAATATTAAACAAAAAAAAAATCTGCTATTTGTTAGAACTAGCACAGGCGTACGTTTAAGTTAATTAAAACAGTCAATATATATTACAAAGAGAACTCAGAAGTTCAGGTTGTCCGCGTTTTCAAAAACATCCTGACGCATTCGAATTTCCTTCAAAACTAATTTTTGAAAATATGAAACTATATAAAATCAGATTCACATGCATACATACATACATACACAAACACAAACACACACATGTCCTCATATTCATTTCATTGTAGATTTTGCGAAGAAAAGAGAAATAAATTCTATATATATTACAAATACAAACCACTTCGAAATTTTTCTTTCCAAGCTTTCCGAAGATGTACATTTTTAAAGAGGATCTCTTGTTTTTTCACAATTCTGACAAAACAAATAATTTCACTCTTAAACCATTGTTGCAATGGTTGCAACGGGATTTGCCCACCCATAACCCATTCAACAAAGTTTTGTACGTGTTCGCGCTCACTCGTTGGAGAGTTAACAACCACGACTGGCCATTCTGTTATTACATTGCGTGGCTTTGAAACAATCTATCACCAGGAGTATAGGTATACCCCGCCGCGCTTGATTTTTCCACGTTTACATCAAACATATATAAACATTGTTCCCTCCTTCCATCCTTCTCAACCGACAACCGTTTCTGACTACCATCATGCCTCTCGGGGATAGGCGACATATTCTGAGTATGTGAAATAAAATGACGCGACATTTTTTTCAACACCCTTCGAAGCTCAACGTGCATACAGCTTCTTCAAGATAAAATTTTCTTAGAATAATAAAATGAATCCAGTCTATTCGTAACCTCCACTTATCAGTTCAAACATGACATCGTTTTACATTGGCATTTAAATTGCAATACGGTACATTTTCATGGGTGAATTATTATTATTACTCGGGATTATATCAGAGATTTGATAATCTAAGGCTCAAGCGGCAAGTTAAGTTGATCAGAGAATCGAAAAAAAAATCATAAGAATATCTGATCTAAACAGATTCGAAGAAATTTTTTTGCACTGTGGTACAAAAACAATTTATTTTTTTGCTCGTTACTCGCACAACAGAAACTACGGCACGCATTTTCAAGTACATTGTACAACATGTGCACAAAAATTGAATCTATTATAAAGATTATCGAGATTTCATTCATTCTACTCGCTATACCGTGGATATATTCTTGGTCAAAATGAAATTCTGAATTGGTTAAGACGTGTCTGTCCTTCTGTGTACATGCGTGGACATTCTCCTGGTCGTAAAATTGAAGATATTGACTTGAATCTTGCACGCAATAATGTTGAAAATGGGCCACAACACGAGCCCGCATTGAAACGTAAAGTGAACGCAACTCCATTTTTCTGAACAAAAATTTGTGTGTTGCGGCTCTTTACTCGCAAATTATAATATAAAATATAGAAGGCTGACATTTGCCACATTTACCTAACGAAAATCTCTACTATTTATGCAAAAAATTGGAAAAAATCGGCCATGCCCAAACAAAGTTACAAGTGATTCAATTTTATTTTTTTCACCTTTTTGAGGTCTTTTTTTTTTTAATTATAAGGTAAACAAGACATACATTCATCAAATAACGATATATTAGCTGCCTAAAAATGGGTTAATTTTAAAATGAATATGACGGACATCAGCGATATGGGTATTAAATAAAAGGACTCTGAGAGTAAAATGCGATAAGCTGAGGACGTTAAGTCTAAATTAATTATGGTGACCGTCACGACATGGTAGAAATATTTTTCTTAAAAATGCCTTCAAATTAAAGCGGTAGGGGAGTAGAATGTTAATGGTGAATTGACAACTTCACCTGAACAATACGTTTCAACGAAATAAAAAGTGAAAGATAAATTTTATCTTCAACACTTCTTTACGACAATAAATAAAAGCATGGGGCACATTTGGACCTAGATTTTCCATTCACCAAAAATCCACATTTTCGCACTTTCGACAACACATTTTTCCAAGACTTTATGCGGCTGAATAATCATGTAAATAGTTGCACTACATGAATCCAATGAAGTAAGAAGATTGCAAAAAGACTTCATATATTGGATATATTGAATATACTTGTAATATTTATTGAGGATACTCTAAACCTGTATCATATTTGCCGAGAATGACTTCAATTTAAGATAAATCCAAAAACGTGTGAATATAAATTGATGAAGGTTCGTTTAATATTAAAAATGTTTAATAAAAAATAAAAAGTAGCTCAGTGTGATTCCTTTTAGCATTTCATCTGATTGGTTATCTCAATAGCACAAGGATCTTTAACAGGGCATATCTGGCTTGAGCTCTCACATTCAGTAAGACTATATTCATGTTCGCATATACCTTCCTCTTGTTCAAACTCTTCGCCTTCGCCTTCTGGCACATATGATATACTTTTCTCTATGCCTACTTCACTAGGAGCAGTGACAAGAGAGCATACCGATATCTCGGAATCGGATAATGGTAACGGTACTGGCTCTTGCGGAAGTAAGGAATAGTCATATAAGCAAATATCCTGAGCGTACCATAGTGAAGGTTCGTCGATCCAAACATCTTGCTCACGATCGTTTTCTTCTTGCTCATTTTCTTCCATGTCATCAGCTTCCACTCCTACTTTACGATTCGCTTGCATCGCCCGTCCCGGTGATTGAAAATAACCCATAAGCAAATAATAATTATCAAAACTGAAAACTGCTGGTCCTTGTGGGAAAAGATTATCCCAAATGCCATGGAGACTAGTCGATTTTTCTTCTATACCGAATGTAAATGTAAAAGGGCCTACCCGTACACCATTACGCCAAGTTCCTTTAAATTGCAGCGGTCCACAGTCTGGAGATGCCAGCAGCAGACCCCTTGTGTAGACGCCTACACCATGGCGTTGACCGCGGTACCAGCTGCCGCAGTATGTATCTCCATTAGAGTACGTGTAACGACCCTTACCATGTTTCACATTCTTGCGCCACATACCCTCATAGACACTGCCATCGGGATAAACAAATAATCCGCGACCTGAACGGCGGCCTAAAATGGACGTATTATGAGTATCCATCCACGAAAAGCATGTCATTTAACTTACCACAGCGATATTGGCCATAATAACGTGGGCCGGCCTTAAAAACATACAAACCCATGCCATGTCTTCGGCCGTGGCGGTACTGCCCATCGTATTGATCACCATTCGGTAATATTGCCCAACCGCGTCCATCACGCTCTCCTTTCGAATTACGGCCACCAATGTAAAGCTATAAAATTGTACATATATATATATATATATGAGACGGAAAATTACTTTTCTGTGCGGGGAAAAATTTTGTTCGCGCTAACTTACGCCAATATTAATAGTCTCTTCCTCTTCTTCAGGTAGACTTATTTCTTCCGCTTCTTCAATACTCATATTATTCAGGAAATTTTATTTCTATTAAAATTTATATCACAATAGCATAAAAATTCTGACACGAATGGATAATAATGTTAAAAGATAAAATTATCAAATATTACTTAAAAATATATTTTTATTATTCAACATAAAAATACTTTAGAACTTAGAATAAATCTGATGTTACGTATCATAAAAGTAATTTGCCAATGGATAGCGAATTATTAGTGCTAAAACTGTGCATAGGATTTGAAAACCCATTAACATTTGCGTAAGTATTTTCTCATGCACTGGCCCAAACACCAATAATACAAAATTGATTAGCGTGAAATTATTTGTTGTCACTTTACCGTCGGGCTTTTCTTGCCACGTTATCAATTTTAATGATTTCAGCATGGTCACCATTAGACGGCCCAGCATATTCAGTTCGTTTTTATCAAAATCGGTTGTACTTATGTGCAAAAGGTCCGATTTTGAATCGTATTTTGGTAAACGGTGTCTTGGGCAAGGGATAAATTTAAATAGTTGCGGTATTGAATAAAGAAAATTTATTATTTGCGGTAAAAAAAATAGAATCAATGTTTTACTAAAATGCCCGAGAATGCCAACGACCGCAAACGTCATGCCTGCAAAATAACAAAATGTATCACCAACGAATACTTGGGATGGATATCTGAAAGAAAGGAACGCAACGAAAAACAAAAGATTAAACAATTTGATTAAAAGGTGCAACTGAGTGGTTTATGGGAAAGAGTCACATTATCATGAATCTATGTTTGTTTATTTGTTTGGGTTAAGGTTAATTTGAAAATTCATAACATAATTATTGAATTTATATGAAAGGACTGAAACGTTGGTGTAAATTACTGCCAAAATTTATCGGCAGACTAAAGGTAAGTAACAAAAATGTTTTTTACAAAAAATAGGTAACAATTCCCGAAAAATGTTTTTTAAATTTTTTTGAAAATTCAAGTGCTTTCTTTTAACAAGAAACTTTAATGTGGGAAATTGCTTGTTCACACATCCTTGGACAAATTCAACCAATGAACTTTGAAATGGACATAGTTCGCCTAAAGTATCTAGAACCAATAACAAATTCGAAAATTTTATAACTTCGGCCATGTAGACCACCATATTTTTATGAATACACTACATGTATTGTCGATTACTTACTTGTTAAATTTCCATAAAGCCAAGGATACAGCAAGAAATGGCAACATTAAATAAATACTAAATTTATGGGCGTCTACTTGATGCCCCAAAGATAATTCAATAAAATTGAACAGAAGTATAGAAGCACTGATAATTAATGATTGACCCACTTCTAAACCGTTGATGCCGGCTAAAATGTTGATCGCATTAGTGCAGAATACAGCCAACATTCCCATGTAAATGTAATACAAAGCACCTGAAATTTGGAAATTGGGATATATTTGCAAATAACTCATTTGAAATAGTTCATGCATTACGCTTCTGAAATATTCGCGGAGCCTATTAAAGCATTTTTCAATTTCTAGTTTAAATTCATGATACTTAACAATGATACGCCAATTAAACATTAAAGTAACCATAAGAAAGGAGCTTGCTAAGTCAACAAAGAATCGTAAAAGTATGATTATAAATTTTGAACATAGATAAAAAATGAGAAAATATGGAAACAATATTTAAGAACCAGATATTTTTCATTCCAGTCTTAAACAACAAGAAAAATATTTTTAGCTAAGGAAGAAAAATAGCGGCTTTCTGAAAGGGATCCGGGAAGAGATCATTTATTATGATTTTAAGCTTATTTAAATAAAACCGAATCCAGAAGAGCTGCTGTTTCCCTGCCGAAATGCAAAATTTTCAGAGAAATTGCGAAGGAAATGAACGCATGTTAGGTTAGTTGGCACAAAGCCATTATTCTATGTCCAAAAAAAATTCCATACCTTTGTGATTTTCGAAGTTGATTGTGCGCTTGCCAACGACATCGTGTAAACATTAATTTCACCTTTCTCAATCAGCCTTTTCGTTTATCTTTGTGGCATTATTTATGTGCACGTGGCTGCGATTTTTATTGTTATATTTAGAGATTTTTTCACCGATATTTGAAACTATTTAATGCTTTGGGTATTTATGTGCATATATTTGTCAGGTTATTAGAACGTATGCAAATTGTGGGAATCTTTGTTTGATTAATATTGGGAAAAGTCCTTACCTATATCCAATGAATAGCCGACAAATGTTCGCAGGAATTTTGGCATTATAATCGTTGTTAAATTGTAATAGACAGCGTACACCATTAGTAACGGAATCATAGCTATGGAGGGCAGTACGAGTTTATAACGCCATCGTAAATCGAAAATATCGTCAATGAATCCCAACAACATCATTACAGCTATGGAGAGCAGAGCAACCAATAATTCTACAAATTTTTCGTGAGGAAATGTCGTTTTGCTGCCGGTTTTTATGGCTTCACCGAGAGTGAGTAACGGTGAGTAATTACCGAGAGTGAAGGGCACCGGTATGAATAAAAACAAGACGACCAAAAACACCAATCCAATTAAGACACCCATTGATTCAGGACTGCAACAAAAAAAAAAAAGGTTTTCATCACATTTATTATGAATTGTATGAACATGAACACTGCAAAATTACATTTCTTTTTTATTTTTTTTACATAAATCCTTGCCAACTCGATTTTTGTCGATAAATTTTTGTCGAAAACCCGGTATCAAACGCACAGCAATTACATATCCGCCCGCTGACAGAAGACCGTTTATTATTAAACAATTATAAATCATTTTTTTTTTATATTTTGTTTTATTTTTAGTTATAATTAATATGCCTGCAATTTAAGCTAACTAATCTGATTTTACTTTAGTTTTTGGTTGCATAGTTGAGTAAATTAAATTAGAAATCAAGTTATTTTATGGTTGCCAGGATTATAAAAAGAGATTGTCAGCTGATGTCATGATTGCCAAGCATACATCTCAAATGTGAAGTAACAAAATCAAATAATTTAACCATTTAATTAAGCGTTTATTGAGACCTCTTTTCTTTTAACAACATTAAAAGCGATACTATTGGACAGTCTAGCTGTAATACTCTTAAATTACCTTAACTTTGTTCTAACGCATAATAAGAGAATAACCGCTTGCAAAAGCTCGTGACAATGAGTATGAATTCATAAAACGATTAAAGTACAAGACAAGTCTATTGACAACATATATGTTAAATTATGTTATATAAAATTGCAAACAGATGTTGTAGTTGTAATTATCGTATTAAAATATTTGTACAAAAATAAAATCATGAAGAATGACGAATGTAGAACAAAGTTACTCATCTTATATTATAAGGGCAATTTCAACAAGCCGAAACTAAGCAACGGCTTGAGTAATGACAAACCGACTAGTTTATATTGTATTCGGCTGTATATACTTCGATCATCAGCTCGTATAACTGGCGAGGTCGCTGTTTCCACAAAGTCTTTCAGAATAGACCTAACATACTTGCACAATGATTTCATAGTTAATATTTAATAAACTTAAGTATTTCTATTTAAACATTTCTTCACAATTTTCTGCTCAAATATATCCAATTGGCGTTGTTGGGGGAAGAGCAAAACAAATGATGAGTGGACACATCAAAGGTAGTGCGAGGCGACTTCGTATATAAGCAGTAATAATTAATAATAAGATGCCATGGTTAATAAAATGCCATGGAATAAGTCTTTTCAGCAACCGCGCAGAATAAATAAGCAACAGACGTATTCTAAAGTCGGTCTCCAAATTATCGACTATTTATTACAGTATCGGAACCATAAATACCATTCACAATTTTAGCCGCCTGGCTTGCATTTTCGCCATTGTCAAAGAAAAACTGTAAAATGTACCGAATTTTCTCTTTGTTCACTTCCATTTTTAACATGCTGTAACTCACAACTGAATGCACCAAACAAAAAAAAGCAAAAGAATTTTTTTTACTGCGAAATGTACAGTATGTAAATGTACAGTATCGGAAATTGTTTGATCGATACTTTACTAGCAATCTATCAGTGCAGCCATCTACCGAAAAAATAATGGATTTCTTTTTCCCCAAACCAATATTACAAACATTTATTTTACATTTCACAAAGATTTTGAAGTAAACCAGTTACACTCATAGATACTTTCCGCTTGCTTCCATGAGTTACGTCTTGTGTTTTGCGTCCACTAGAAAATGCTTATTGTAGTAAAACATTGCGAATACAACTTTTGTGACGGTTAAAAATTTTTGGCCATAGGTTGAATTGCAAACCTGAAGGAAGCAAAGTTGATAGATATAATGAGTTTTCCTATATTCCAAATTTATTAGACATTCTAAGAAATAAATTCTGGAACCAAAAAATAATATGAAGCAAGAAAATGTTTGTCAAGTGCCAGCTACCTATAGCGGTACAAAACTATTTTTGGGTGTTTCTGGGCCTTGCATATTCACTTCCAATATTCACATTTCACAATTGAGGACCTTATTGCTTTGATAATTATTCATTGAACAGTTTTGCATTTAAAACCGCTTAAAAACGGGCAGGGAAAATCAGATAGGTCATCACACTAAATCCAGATAGAGAGTGAGAGTTCTTTGAGAGTGGTCTTATGGTCTTTGAAAGAGTCGCTAATTTAAAAACTTATCACCTCTTAAAAAGTGAAAGTTTGTTGAGTATAATGAAGATTGCCTGTTGGAAAAGATTTGATATAAAATTTACCGTTTATTCATCCGTTTGGAGCATTTACGTATATGACAAATATGATGCTCTTGATAAGCACTCCTTGATCAATTGTGTCTTTAACACGTTAAAGACGGCGCAGTTTTTCCTATTTCGCTTCATTGGGCGGCAGCAAAAATCGTACTTTGCTTTATCTGGCGACGCCTTGCACAAAATGTTCTTTACCAAAACTTCATACTCAAAAGTGTAGTTTCCTTTTATTCTACGTTTATTATAAAATGAATGAAATGCCTACAGAATCACTAAACCTAAAACCTAAAAGAGGAACTGCACATTTTCTTCAGAAGTATCCTGGGACTGCAAGAAAGTCGCGGAAACGGATGTCGTAAATATTACACTAACGTTTCATCGGTGAAATACCAGTTTCTTTCGTTTTAAAGCTGAGATAAAGTTAAAAGCGCACACTATATAAATACAAAATGCATATATAGCATATATATGTCAAGGAGCGGCTACTGAAAGCCCTCATATTGGGTAGGAAACTACTGGACTCTATATTTTAAAGTACAATAGCGTTAAAGAGCATTTTGGAAGAGAATAGAAGAGCTCGCATTCGCAATAAAATATGATAATAAAACACTTAAAATTTTCTTATTAACATTATTTAATGCATCTTTGTAACACACATAAACAGATATTTATGAAAATATAATAATTATTTGATAATAAATTTCGTAAAAGTATTTACTTTTTAATTTTTATGCGCAATAAATACCAAAAATTAATTCAAATTAAATTTAAAATTAATTAAATTCTGCATTTAGATTAAAAATTGCTAAATGAAAGAAAATGTAAAGCAGCTGATCGTTCATGTTATTATTAAATTAATGGATTTGTGTTATTGTGTTTTTAATTTTTACAGTCAATATTTATCACAGTACTTGTTTATCAGTATTCTATAAAACCGATTGAGTATTATGTACATACATTAGGGAAGCATTAATCATCCAAAATGTAAAGCTAGGAGATGATGGGAAATAATATTACGAAGGAGGAAGGAAACAAGGTTGATTACAGGATTCTTGTGCCTCTAATTAGCTTAACTAAGGACAATAATCAATCGTTACATCGAATTGAAAAGACAAAGATTATTTTTAGTTATTATGTTTTTCCTCTTTTTTTTTTTATATATTTTTTTTTATATATATTTGAAATCATTTTCACTTATGCTCAATTTGAGGGAAATTTTTAATAGAGATGATATGTGATGATGATTCTAAAGCACTGACACTGATTATAAAGCGAAAATTTGTATAAACAGTAATTGATGTGATGATAAATTTTACCTGTATTTTAAGAATTGGGAGCAGGCACGATAAATAAATTATTTATATGAGATTTATATTTATATGTTTCCGATGAAATGATGTTACTGCAGTTTCAAATTGCCTTCGTTCATTCATTTTCACTATTATAATCCTATTTCCAACGCAATTCTGTATTCATTTTATTACTTTACCTATTAAAGTTTAAATATTAAACGCGTAAAATAAAATTTGTTTAGGAACCTTTCGTATAATACCAGATAAAAAAGCTGTGCTCGCATTGGATCAAATCTTGGATATTAACTATCTCGGGGTAAAATTTGCTTAAGATTTTAGATGCACTATAAATCATTGTGTTTAATCACAACTTTCATACGACAATCCCGAGAGTGAATCATGTACATTTATCCTAATATTAACTGACAATTCAGATTAAGATATCTGAGAGATTTATATCGAATTTATCAAATACATATACATATGAGGTAAAGATATTCTCTTGAAATCATTAGTACGAGTTCGTCTAGAAAAACCGTGCTAAATTAAGCCAACTCGAAAGGCAGCTAACTTGATTCAAGGGTTAGTCGACAATTACCATATCCCAGATACAACGAATAAGATATTATTATGATTATCATAACTTTTATACTCCACACCACGTGCGGTGTATGAGCATAAAAAGAACCTTTCGGTATAACGATCGATTCAATCTCATTTTCTGACTGTCCGTCTTGTTTCCCACTTTTCACCCCATAGCTCGTAATTTAAGAGACCTTTCCTTGAAATTTGGTAGACTAGCGGGAGTTGGTCCAAGGACAAACACTAGTTCCGATCAGGCCAATTTTTTGGACCACTTCAGAAATAATGGTTCATTTTGAAAATTCGTTACACAAATAACTGTGGCATGATGCAGAGTGTTTAATGATGGTTATAAATGGGTGACTTTATTGCAAGACGGAGTGCAGATGCATATGCTATTTATCTAACTATAATATATATTCATACAGTTTGGCAGCACTTTAAAGGTAAAAAGTTTTTCTAGTAATTGCGGACAAATCCTCGTTCCAATTTAACAGTGCTTAATCATGACAATCAAAAGTGATTACCTCACACTAACTGGGATTGTATACTATATTGGATTTTGCAGTGCCTCCGATTTTTATCTATTACGAAAATATGACAGCTTCAATATTCATCCTCTGGTATGTACAAACAAGCAATATTATGGAGCGATGTATTCACATGCAATCCTAAGAATTATTAACTATCCGCTTGGAATCGCAGCAATCGCACTTTTTAAACGAAAAGAAAATCGAAATGAAATGTTCTTGAAGAAAGAGAACATAGTGCCCCTAGCTACCGAGATATTGCAATTTGAGTAAATCTACTTCAATGTTTCTCTTTGATTCGAAAATTTAGCTTCTTAGCGGACATAAATAGACGCTGCTTATTTCTTACTACTTATTGATAGTGAATAAATTCAATATTACCTCAGGTCCAAATAGATATATATATAAGATATAAAACCACAGCTAGAACGATTCGACTTCATTGTCATCGGCCAATAAATCGTCCAAAGATTCATATATATTTATTAATAAATGGCCATATTTCCAACTTTGATCACTGACATATGAAGGAGCAAAGTATTTATCTCTAAAACGGTAGACGCGTAATAATTGCGTTTTACCATCCCTTAAATACACGCCCGTCGCAATGAGTTGCTGAAGATACGCTATATCAATGTGAGAATTACGTTGGTTATGAGGAAATTCAATAGAATTTTGTGGTGTAGGAATAACAGATAAAGAAGTTTGCGATTGTGCTTGCAACTCCATTATAACTTCATCAGGTTGCTGACAGTATTTGCAAAACCAGCCACCAAAATGGTTAAGGTCCCCTATAACAAGTGGAAAGTTTTGGATATTTTGCAAAAGAGCAAGATCAGCGGCAATCTCTCCCTGAATATTATCCAGATGACTAAAAGAGCTGATAATGCCATTCAGATGGGTTAAGTCAGGGTGCTGCCAATAAAAACCGTAAACATTGAACTTTAAACGAAAGACTGTCGTTGGGACTTCGTTGACATAGTACTTGAAAAAATTTAAAGCTTTATGTCCTAATAAGGTATGATCGTCGGTGTAAATAAAGAGATCGGTGCCTTTAATCACATTGCTGCTAAGTTGCTGTTGACGGAATAGGTGATACGCGGCAGCGCTGGAACAATTTCTATGTTGCATTAGTTGACAGTGGAACAACATAAAATTGTTTTGAGGTAAGATCTGTTTCAAATGGCGTCGCAAAGACTTTAAGTCGTTTATAGAAACTGGATTGCGCTTAAAGAATATGATGAAATAATCAATAACTCTTTCGACACCTTTCACTTGCATTTCCAGCAAATCTAGACTAAAAAATTGACCTTCAATCATATACACTAATCGATGGCATTCATCCCGGCTGGGATCCTTAAGCTTAAAGATGGTTTTGGCAGCCATTAAAGCTCTCCATATAACCTCAGGTTGCCCGCAATCGCGTCCATGCCACTCAGATGAACATTTACAATGATTTTCGCCAGCATCGAGCAAATCTTCCGATTCATTGTCGCTTTTCAACTTGAAAGTTTCGTTTTGGATACCATCACGAAAACACCATAACGTTGTTTCACCAAATATTAACCGTTCAGATTCAGAAATATTTCCATTTAATTTCTGCAATACGAACTCTTTGTGAAATCCAACCTCTCTGGATGGCCATACAAACTGCGTCGCATTGGCACTGTTGTCGGCCGATCTTAAGCTCTCCGCCTTTATAAAATTTACTCTTTGTTGTTCTTCTTGTTCTCTGGTGAAAGTGCCCTCAATCCTGTTGAGGTTATCACTCAATCCGAATTGCAATAACCAAAAGCATAAAATGAAACCGAATTGTATTAATAATACCGACCATAATACAACTCTTTTCGTCCAAGTTCCGCGACCTGCTAACAGTGGAGCGACTTGTGTACGCTGCATCACGTCCAATTCCAACTGTTTCTCCACTTCATTAGCTAAAGCATCGTAACGGGTTAAGCTTAGACGTAAATGCATCGGTGCACTGATATTATTTGCTATCAAATTAATCCTGAGTTTAACACATTTCTCTTTTTCTAATTTCAATATATAATATTTATTTAACTAGAATTTTTCACTAAATTTCTCGGCACACGCCCGTGTTATTCTTATACATGCATATATTCATTTTTTGCACATTCTTAGTTAAGATTTCATGCACTTCTTCGCATTTTTTTTTTTTTTTTATTTTACAACACACTGTACAATCTTGGAAGAATGTATTATAATGGACTGTCCACTCATTGCATTTTAATAATTCCGTGACAGATAAATTGAAGTGCAAAAAATATAATTTTTTTAATACATGGAATTTTTTTTTATCTTCCAGACGTGTAGTTCCTATTTATTAGAAACAGGAAAATATCTTTAATGTTTTGCGTTAATTTGAAATGCTTGAGGTTATATTTCCCGTCCATATACGTAGGATAACAAAGTTTCAATTTGACCGAAACAATTAGAGTTGCAAGCACTTTTCAGCTTAGGGAATCGGTTAAACGCAAAAGAATTCTTATTTTTCGACAAAATTTGACTGAGTGGGCAATCTACTATTATTTATTCTAGTTTGAAACGCCTATTCGACATTGTCAAAAAACAGCTGTTATTTTCAAGGGTGAATTATGTTCTTCTTCTGCATTCTTTCGTTTCGTCTTTTGAAATTACGATGAGCTGTTTATCTGGACAATGTTGCATACCATCATTTTGCAAACCTTCATCGTTTATTTTCGAATAAATGTTACAAAAAAAAGTAATGTTATGGAATTCGCTTTTATAAGATGCAGTCCATATCACTGCATCGCGGATATTTTGTTCAAGAGAAAAACACTTCAAAGTTCTCTTTATTCGACTGTTTAACTCAAATATTGTTTTTCTATTCTACTGTTTTTCACAAATATTCTATTTATATACATTTTTGCCATCATATTACTAGTGCCTAGTTTTATGACTTGATTATTAATTCGTTAACCTGCTTTTTTTTTTGGTAACCATTTTCATCGGCCTGCATCTGCATGACACGCCTGCGAATATGCGCTTTGTTTTTACTTGTCTGCTTTTCCGCTAATCGCTTTCATCGGTCTGCAGCTGCATGACGCCTCGCTAATGTACATTTGCTTTCTTTTCTCTTTAAGGAATTATTATTTTAGAAAATGACTTGGCTGGAATCAACTAGATTTGGGATTTCCGTAACAGTAATATAGCGGGGCCACTCGTCATTTTGTGTTATATATGTGGTTGCTTGTTATTATTGTTATAAAGTTGAGTCATAAGTAACCGACTTGGTTAGGTAAACTCTATTGCTCGTATCTATTTACTTTAAGTCAACGAAACGAACGAGTTTTTGTTTTCACTATATAGATAAGGATTCAGTTAATCTTCTGTCAATTGTTTTATGTGGTGCATGTTACATTCAACTATTTTTCTTAATCTTTCAAATGGAGAGTCAGAAAGTGCGTATTCAACATATTATGCTTTGGGAATTTAAATAAGAAAAAAGCGCTAAGGCGACAGCTGGAAAAATATGCAGCGTATACGGTGAAGGACTGATAACTGATCGGGCACGAGGAAATCGATTTTGGGAAATTCCGTTCTGGGAATACAACCTTAAAAGGCGTACTGAGGGTGAGACGTCCTTCCGACTTTGACGACAACCTTCTAAAGCCAATCAAGAAGCGGTATAGCAAACAAGCGGTATATGAAACTCACAATCAACTGTCAAACGCCACCTGGGGAAATTATTTTGAATTATTTATTTTAAATCACCTACAAGAATTGTGAATATTGCTGTTGATGTATAAATATTTACATGTTGAAATGGAGAAATTCATGAAATAAATTAGATCTTTTCACCTTTCAGGACTTAAGACTTGCAACAGCAAGTGAGTTAAGAGATATGATGGACACCTTTTCGAAAATAAGTAGAAAGAATTTTTGACGCTTCAAAAATCAAATATTTAACTTATGTTCGTAGGATCGTTATTCTTATTTGCAGCTGTCGAGATTGCTAGTATTATGTATCGATGGATTTTAAGGTCTTTCTCTAGGCCAAGAACAAGACATTTTCTCCGATTCAGCGTCATAAAGCGAATCGATTAAGCTACCTACGAAATTTAAAAGTGCAGACAGTAATTAAATATCTATCGGTTTGTTGTCAAGTTGAATGTTGAAATGGATGTCATAACTGTATATTTTACAATCATTTATTAGTCAGCCTTTTTAAACATATAAAAAGGCGTGGCTTACATACCGTTATATGAATCCGCATTAAAATGATATGAGTTCTGTCATATTTCACACCATCATTGAGGAATAGCAGGCGCATTAGCATATATTAATTTAAATGTCCTCCGGGCCTACGCAATTTTAATTAATTCTTATTATTACCCATAAGCGCCATACTGTTATGTTTGTATAATCGTATGATTATAACAAAATGATTAAAAGGAAATATAGTATATAACAAATAATAATACATATATATGCACCAATTGATATTTTTTAAGAGTTAAGACTTTACTATTCGAAAACACACATACCAGCTTCCGTGTGAGATGTATCGCGCACGTGACGGATGTGTGGGTAAACTGAACATTTAAGTAAAGCTAATAAAGTTAGTTCCCTAAGATGAACCGAACTGAAAAATCTGAAGTTGGTTGTGCTCCCCAGTATCCCTCGTAGTTTCGTAAATATCATCCATAATTCATTTCTAAATATACTTTATCATAAGTTCAGTTCAGTTATGAGCTTGCAAAGTATTTCCACGTCTAAAGGGACCTAAAGATCAAAGTAGAATTTATTTTATAGAAGTGGCAACTAGTTCGAATACCCGCCTTGTCATCATGTTGAAAGGTGCACTTTTCGAATCAACCGTTTTGCCTCATTGACAGTATATTTGATGAATAAAATTGTACCGTGAATTCGAGATTTCCGACTTTATTCATTTCAAAAGACTACAAAGCAATCTGCTACTCACACATTAGGTGGCAGTCCATGATTTGGGTTTCATATATCATATATATTCTATATATATATATATATAGGTATGTATTGATTACGTAAATCTCCTTTGATTATTAAATTAAGAGCAGAGCTGCTTTGCTGTCCGAAGAAACAATAAATTTGCTAGGACCATTTGAACACTTACATAATAAAAATCGAAATATGTTCCTCCAGAGACATTTTACTATCATTTAAATTCTTTCGGTTTTTTTTTTAATTAAATTTTTTATTAAAAATTTAATGAATATGTATGCTTTTCACATGTATGTTTTAAAACATTATAACATGAAATAATCACAATGATAAAGTTTTTAACTATTTTTTTTTTCAACTTTTTTTTTAAAAATAATTTTCATTTGTTTTATACCTTCCACCGAAATATTTAGAGAAAGCTAGTTTTTCCATTAGGTTCATAAATTCCGAAAATGAGTGTCAAATCAATGTAAGGTGATTGCGAGACGATTTAGCCAAATATTTCATTTTATGATTTAATGAAATTTTAAAAATTTTGTAGCTTTGTAATTACTTCATATTCACGGATCAAGTTGCAAAGTGCACGTATTTTCCAGCGAATGCGTATGTCGCGATTGCCAGGTGCAAAAAAGCAAGGAACTACAATTTTATGTCATTCTTACACGCCCACACGAACAAACAAACAAACAAAACTGCTATAATTCATTTCTGCTTGAGGTGGTCGGCATCCGAAATCCGCTTAAAAACGAATTTAACTTTATTACTTATTCGTAAAAATGTCACTGTATACTATTTACGTTGAGCTGATTTTTTTAAAATCTTCGCAAGTTGACTATATGTAATATATATATATGTGTGTGTGTGTATTGATTATTAACAACTACAAATAAATATTTAATATTTGCAGGTAAGGGTATATCCTTTGATTTAAAAATATTTTTTTTCATCCAATTGATCTAAAAAATTTTATTAATCTTATATATATATACATTTATATATATAAGCGTCTTTGCTGATTGGATTGGCATGTATTGAATTTGCTTATAAATTTTACAATGAATTTTTCACTTGTTCTAGCCTTTTTTTTTATTAAGTGTATGTAAATTTATTTTAAAATTACTTACTTTTGCTTATAAATTAAAAGGAAAAAAATAATTATAATAAAAAGAATCTCTCTAAAAAAATTTGATGATGGATTTAGTACAGTTATGACGATGCTAAGCTTCACCTGCAGAAGGAGAGAACTTAGGAGAAGAAGCAGGGCTGGAAGATGTATCCGCAGCTACGGAACTACCACAGCCAGAACTACTGGAATCACAATTTGTTGAAACTGAAGACGAGCGCTTTGAAGTATCTTCGAAAGCGATATTTGTCAGTTTAATGGTTACAGATTCCGTTACATTGCTAGCATCTCTTCTTTTCACATCTTGTTCTGCTGATGTCGACCTATTGCAATTATCATACAAAGCAGACTTGCCATTTTCATCAAGTACAATATTAAGTTTCTCCCTATGCAATAAATTCTCAACAGCCGGAGGACCTATATGTAAAGGAGTTTCGACCTCCTCATGCGAAGGATAGTTGATCGGATTCAAACGTGTTCCGTGACGCAAATTGTCTGTCAACAATTCGTGCAAGGTGGTGCCGTCTCTTCGTTTTGATATTTTATAGATGGCAGGGCAGGACTTTGAATTTTTCACCTCATTTGTATCTTTAAAATCTTGTAAGATATTCAATTCGATGTTTTGATCTCCAGAAGGGACAGCGTCTGCCATTAAAAATAACAAATCTTTGCCAAAGAGTTTTCATTTATGTATTTATTTATTTACCATCAAATAATTCTGGACGTCTATCGTCTCTGTTGACGGCCGCTAGTTTATCGATAATTGATGCCGCATAACTATTATCCTCAATGCTACCTGCACCTACTGGATGCTCTGAGTTGATATTCAATTGACTTAATGTTGGAACTGTTGCACCCAAACTGAAATTATCTACCTCAACGCCTTTAATGCTAAAAGTCAAGTTGGTATTTTCAAGCGTTGTGGGTGTATTCAATAGCAAAAGTTGTGAATTTACTTTATGATCTTCCAATTCTAATTTTATATGATCAAGATTCTCATTGATATAATTTATGTGTATGGGAGATGTTTGTAAATTCTGTGTATATTTAGGCTCTTCTTCCGGTGGTGTATAATAAATGGAAGCTTTACTTGCCGAATTGTTGCTCATTAATTTCGACTTGAGTTTGTGTAATTCTTTGATCTCTTTGAAATTGAACGATGGATGATGCACGGATAATGGGATCATGTTTAATTGCTCCTGCAGCATTTTTTGTTGATTTTGATCACTTGAAGCCATTTTGGTTTTAATATAAAAATCTATATCTGAAATATATTTCAATCAAATACACTTACTACAAACGAAAGAAACGAAATGCAAACAATCAAAATTAAATGTGTGTATATATTAAGAAAAGTATTGCTAGCTAGCCCATTAAATAACATCTTTTATATAATACTTATATATTGTCAAATGCATCAATTTGAATTTAAACTCCTTTTGCACTTTCCAAAAAAAAAAAAATATATATATATATATCAAGTCTTAAGTTAAATAGTAACCAATACTTTTATGTCCGTTTAAGAATTCGCTCTTGCCACGACCGTTTAGCAATGATGTTTCAATGAAATACTAATTGACAATACGAATGTCTTGCTGCGTTTGAGGAACGAACACAGGCGTTAGAATTGGAAACGAAAAGGATAAGTAAATTTTGTCAATGATTTGAGATCTATTTGAAAAGATTGTTTTCAAAATATTCATAATTTTGTGTTTAATTGTATTTTGTTGAATTGAAGGCGATTTTAAGGTTCTTTGAAACATATGCGTCACTCATATTCCAAGCATACTATGAAAATGTTAATACGATCTCTTCGAAGACTTTAATACGGGCAAATACAAACAATTTATATTGACTCGAAGCTTCCACGAAGACATGTAAGATGTAAGACGGCAATTGTAAAACAGACCGGCTTGATATAATACTAAATTGGACGATTCTCTTCCGTACATTACTCGACGACGACCGTTATCGGCGCCATTAGTGAAGAAAGTATTTTCTACCTTTTCGATTTTGTGCATTATCCTATAATATTTCAAATTTTTGTTAACGACGATGACCTGACATTAAAGCGGTAATTTTAATAAAAAAATTGCAAAAACATTTCGGTGGACAAAATCCCAAACAAATATTAACCCTTAAGGAACGAATGCCGGCATGCTCTCGACATTGCAAATATTGTAAATAAAATTTTCGTAAATCTATTAGGTTCGGCCTTAATTATGCTTGCGACAATAGATGAAGATGAAAGTGATAATCACGACAGTTCTGATAGCGACTTGTTTGTCTTATGCCGATTACGGACAATGATGAAAATAATAAATGTGTTTATGCATTAATAAAATGCAATGGCTCGCTAAAGGTTAGTTAGAGTTCATAGTTTTATATCACGCGGAAAATATTAACGTAGTCCCGTACAATGCTGATCAACATGTATTTATTTATTTCGTTTTTTTTTTTTTTTTTTGGTTTTTTATCATATTTTTATCATAATCTTATAAAATACCTTTTTGAAATATAGTTTACTTAATCGAAGGCGTCAAATATTCTACGATCTTGGACAATAGAGAATTATAAAATTCTGTGAACTTTACGCACCTTTATGTCCCACATTATACATTATTTATTTTTTGTTTATAAGATTTTCAGTTTCACTATACTCAAAGATCAACCAAGAACTTCTTTCTTTCAATTGAGCAAGTTTTCTTCATTTCTTTGAATTACAGTTCGTAGGATTAAAAAAGTTATGGTATATACAAGCATAACCACATAAAGTTTAAAGGACACTTACCGTCGGTAATATCGTCATCGCAGTGACCACGACAATTCTCGAAGTAGAAACTGGGTAAGTTTTCTAAGACTTTATTGAGAGTTTGTTGTTGATATTTGTAGCCTTCACGTAAACGCAAAACCTGATGAGCACTGAATTTGCGTATTTTATTGCGTTGGAAAACATAATTTTCGCGAACCCAATTTAATTGACCAGTGGAATAATCTCTGACTTTCTTTACCTGTCAGGCAAAGGCCATAGTTATTTTCGATTGGATTGATATGAATAAAGATTTACCTGATCATAATACTGATCTTTTAATGCTGTCAAATGACTGGAACCAAGGTCACGAAACTCTTTTAAATGTTTCGCTTGTGTAGTATAACTACTTTGTATCCACTCCACTTGCTGGGCACAATTCTCACGTATGCGATGTACCTTAATGAGAACAAAATGAATAAATAAAATATTGCACTCTTTATTCGCATGAAAAGCACTTCCTTTGCTCTTTCTTTGAACGTAGTAATGTAAAAATATATCTTATATACCACGCCCAAAAAATAACTTCATCAATATGAAAAGCTGTTCATTTTAGTATACATCTTGTTACGTACATCATAAATTGCATATATTTCAAAACTAATTCATTGCTTTCGTATTCCTACGATCTTATAGAGCTTCTTGCTCATTTCACAAATTAAAAATCGTAAATTCTTATTCGGCAGGTATATGTATATGTGGGTCAGTACAAAAGGTTTGAAAAAAATGTGTCTTAAAAGCGTCATTTTAGAAGTCGTGAAGTTTTCATTGTTGGGTCGACTTTACTACTGATACTGATCAAGAACTGTGTAGGTAGTTATGTTACAAACGGATTGCCCAATCTAACCAACTGCGCCCTGGACTTGACTTGCCAATGTACCAAAGGTGGATGTGCTGGCATGATGTGGTGTTTTTTACCCATTGGGTCAGTTATATATTTTCCCATCTTTCGGGGAATTTGTAGATATCGCGGCAACAAATATCTTCCCCTTTTGCTGCACTACTACTATTCCTACAATTCTTTTTGTAAACATCTTTGCACAAACAAAAGCACTGCTCTGGAAACGTTTGGTTCATCAACATAATCGAAAGGAATCGAAACTGCGTCGCCAGCTGCGTCGTAGGCTACTCTTCTTCAATCTTTTAGTTAGTGAACATACCTGCTGGGCATAATTTTCCCTTAAACGTTCCAATTGTTGACTTTTATAGCTCTCAATACTATCCAACATGGCGTAGATTTGTTTCGCTCTAGGTGATTGCTTAGACCGCGTACCGCAGCAATTAAATTTGTTGCACAATCCGCATCTGAAGCAACAAAATAATTGAAATACGAAATTGATTAACACGCATAAGAAGATGTGAAATGCAATCATTATGCATACTTATGACATAATGCCCGTATACCCTGTACAATGAGGGTGAGAAGTAGGAAAGCAGTGGCAGCTGCTACACCGGATAATAAACTACCAATTTTAACGCGATAAAAAATAATAGGATCTATTTGAAGTCTGCAAAGGTTCAAGTTTTTTCAAAAAATTGTCATCTATTTTCATATTTGTATTCAAACCAACCTTATGAATGCTGAAGCATTACCCATTACATTATAGGCGTAACAAGTGTAAAGGCCACTATCTAGTCGTGTAATATTACTAACCAACAAGGAACCGTTCTCGATCAATGCTACACGGTCTATTGCATCAGCGCGCTGTAGGCTTACATTTAACGGTACCTCATCATTGGTCAATGCATTTAACTGCAATCTATCCAATCCTTTGTCGTTGTGATTGATAATAACTGGACGTTTATCCGGATCCGCATGGTACCGCAATATTTTATTGTTTGGCGTTACCTATCATATATGTAAATATATCATGAAATATATATATAAAAAAAAAGACCGACTAGAGTAACATACCCAAATAACATTTGGTGAAGGACTGCCCGAAAAACTACAGTCTAGCTTGGCAGTAGATCGCAATTCATGCATTTTCGATTCGGTGACATTTTGCAAAATTGGTTTAGTGCAATTCAGACTTTTCAATACGGTAATCATGTCGCCCGGGTAACCATGCAAACATTGCAACGCATTAATCAAAATTTCCAAATTTTCAGTTGCCTGCAATGAAAAATTTTCAGAACCACCACCGCCCACATCGTCAAAACGTAGTGTAGTATTATCGGCCGTAAGCCAATAAGCCAACCAATGCATTTTACAATCACAGATATAATCATTGTTCAGTATGTTGATGAAGCGTAACTGTGGTAATGAACCGATGCCTTCAGGTAGATAGGATAAATCATTATAGCCAATGTTGAGACGTTCCAAAAGAGCGAGTGAAGAGATTTCAACTGGCAGTTGTTGAAGCGCATTATGGGCCAGAAGCAGCACCTTGAGGTGGGGTATATTAAGAAACAAAGTTTTACTGAGTTTGCGCAATTGCGAGTTATGCTGTAACGATAAATGGGTCAAATGTTGCAACACATCCGGATTCACATGAGAAATATCACTACGTGATATCCAGTTATTCAATTTTTCCAGTGGCGTGTAATCAATGCGCAATGATACTAAACTCTTCTGATTCATAAACAATCCGTTGGGTAATTGAGAAAAACGATTGTAACTTAAATCCAAATGTTGTAGCCTATGCAACGGCTGGAAGAGTATGGATGAGATAACACTAATATTATTGGCCGATATATTTAACGTAATTAATGAGTTCAACGATTCAAAAGCCTTCCGATCGATGTAGGAGATTTCATTTTCGGATATATCCAAATGCAATAATTTTTGTAAATTATAAAAAGTATTTTTACTAATATTCTGCAAACTATTTCGTTGCAATTGCAATATACGTAATTCTCCGTTCAAAGCAAAGAAATTATCTGGAAATGAAACCAAATGATTGTCCGCCAAATTAAGAATTTGTAGTTCACCCATATTGCGAAACAATTGAAATGGTAAGACTCTTAGCTTATTCTTGGCTAAATGCAAGCGTTGCAATTTGAAAATTCCATCAAAAGTATTACGCGGAAGATCATTTAAAAAGTTGTCGGTCAAATTTAAAACTTTAAGTTCACTAAGATTATTTAAAAATTTGCCATTAAGAGTATATAAATGATTTTTATCCAAGCGCAGTTCTATCAAGAGATTGGAATGATGCAATGGAGAAAAACTGCATTGCTCAGAATTAATCCGATTTTCATTAAGTTTAAGTACTTTTAAGCGACGCACTACCTGAGGTCGGGCCCAGTCTATACATTCTATATGATTTTCTGATAAATCAAGTGATTCCAAATATTCGAAATTCAGTTCATAATTGGTGAAGAGAGCTTCTAGCTGGCGATCTTTTACATCGCTATGCACCCATTGAAAAACTCGTACACTTTCGAATTGCTGTAAATGTAGACGTGCCTCCTCACTGCCGACATTGTAACAATGCTGCAATATTATATGCGCATATTTGATAAATTTTTTCGCTTTCAATTCCTCATTGATTGTCGCTATGGAGGTGTTTGTGCAATACAACTTGAAGACCTTAAAGTCACTTTGCCCGCTAAGAGATGAAATTCCATCATTCTCGACCGCATCGCCTGTATAATCATATAAAATGTTGCGTAACATAGTGTCTTCACCCGCGTAAGCTGCCGTATCAAATTTTTCTTTGGAAGACAAAGCCGATGTATCACTACCCTCACCGCCAACATCATCACCGAATATCGCAAATGGATTATGAATTTTGTAGCTAAATATTGTGGCCTCTGGTGCTGAATGCTTTTCTTCGCCTAATTGCATATGTTTATTACGAAAGCGAAGTTGATGTTGTCGCTCTGCATTCTCACTCGTAAACTTTGAAATGCATGAACCTTTTGCATTATTAAGTTCAAGTTCGTCAATTTGCTGACGTCGCAACCGGTTTCCTGCAAGAGAACTGGTTGTTGCTTCTACAAAATGAGTGGATCTTACGGTCGTAAGTTCGTTATATCTGCCACTTATTGCATTCAAATATGGCAACCATGACCACAAAGAAGTATCATAAACGTCCACAGTTAATAACAGAATCAATATCAGGGAAATCTTGGATATTGCTTCCATTTTTCAATATATAGTTTTAAAAATTTATATGGCATTCTACTGACATTCCAAATTGGCATATTATACCTGAAAAAGTCAAACAAATATATATAACAACACGTTTAATAATATAGAAAGATATTGTGAAAAATAAAGAAATTATTAATTTATGCTAATTATTGCTGTCTAACTTGTATCTGCTATCTTCTTCTCCTCTTCTTTGTTGTGCAACGAGAATGTGCTTTGCAATTTGTAGAAATTTACATAACCATATTTTTAGTCTCTCTTTAGTGTACAAAGTGTCAACTTATGTGAACGATGTAAAAATTGCTTTTATCAGCGTTACTTAATGTTGCTTCACCTCGTGCATCCACGACATTCATCTTTTCACGTGTACCGTATAACGATCACGATATTCAAACATGTTACTTAGATTAATAACCTTTGATACACACTACTTTTAACACTAATGTACAAAAATAGTAAGAGTATTTCGGTAAATGTATCTACTCACTAGGCGTTTGCAAAAATTTTGATCAGTGGTAAAAAGATGGTAAAAATGGTAAAGAAATGAGAAATACCAACGATTGAATTCGATGGTTTCCCTCCACATAAAATAACAGTTTAATTTAATTTAATACTATTGGTTTATTATTCAGCATACGTCGACGCTGCTCATGGAATGCACAAAATGCATTTTCGGCTTTCATTACCACGAAACACGCTCAGAATTGACTGAAAGTGCCATTTTTTGCAGCTCGAATCTTGTGCAGTTTCTGATTACTTGTTCAAATCGGTGGAGCATAGCTTGGCTGGCACTCGCATCCGCAAAGTTGAAGACGTGCGAAAATGAATTGGTGAATGGATCGCTGCCAAACCAATAAAACTTCTTTCGAAATGATATCACCGTGTCGCCTAAAATATTGTAAAATGTTGTAGAAAATTATGGAAACTATTTTTATCAATATACATTGGACCAAATTTCCCAATAAATGGCATTTTCAAGTGAAAAATTGATCAAAATTTCTGCAAACACCTAATAAGTGCATCAAGAAGTTGATCGGAATTATTTTCATGTTCATTTCGTAAATGATTGTACGAAACAATTGTACAGAAATTTCAAATTAATAACTGCTTTATGTAAGCGAATTATAATATTTTTGACGCCTTGCAATTAGATCATGGGTAACCTTAAAATTTTGATCTGTAGGCTTAAACTATTATCATAAAATATAGAGGAAGATAAAATTTTCTATCTTCATTTTCCCGAATGTGAATAACGCCCCTCAATAGTCGACATACAGGCGACGAATACACATCGCAGTGCTAATACGGTTGCTTGGTACCGTCCTGTATCGAAACCGCGTTATATGAAACTTTATGTAGACCGTGTTGTTTCGAAACCGTGTTATATCATATCTTGAAATAATATATATCAGTGCAATAAGTACTATGTTATATCGAAATCGTGTTAAGCGGAAGATGCCTGTATTTACAAGGGTAGGTCTAAAAAATTTATACGACATCTACAATTCATTGCTTTAAACAGCATAATTCTACGAATTTCACAGCAGAGCCTTCCGAAGTACAACAGCTTTCGTCTGGTTAATGAAATCTCAAACAAGCTTGGGCTTAAAGAGTTAAGAAATTTTTAAAAATGTCACTAACAGCTAAAGAATTCTTCGAAAGCAACGTTAGGGGACAAGAAACGTTTCAGTCATCCAGCGCACGCTTCCATTTTCTGTCGATTAAATAATTTTATAAACTCTAACGTTTGTCCATAGGAAGTCGCTAGGCTAGGAAAATGTTTAGAAAATCTGCAATTGCTTTGCACAATAGAATTTAGCAATTGCCTGTCAATTATTCACACACACACACACGTTGCAATGTATTCAAGTATGCATTCAGCTTTTTTCATGTAACAGGAAAATGGGACAAAATTCTATAATATATCTTTGTTATGAAAAAGCAATTCTTGAGAATTGCTACGCTAGAGGCGAAGGTATGAAAATTCAAAACCAATAATGGAATTGAAAATCATTGGGTAAAATGCATTTTTCAAAAATATCGAAAATATAAAATTGTATTACATTCAAAGCGACAAACCGAACATTCTTCAAGCAGAGCAATTTCCATAATGCTGTGGACAAACAGTAATGGGACCGCATTATTTTTTAAATATTCACAGCAGCATCAAGGTGAATATTGCTTTGATAGCTCGACCTGACTGTTGGGACCCAACTGACACGAATTTCGATATGGGTGCCTTGTTGGATTGGTAATGACGGCGTTTTTCCTTTGGTTTTTGTTCAAACAATTTTGTTATCAGCGTTTTTTTTTTTTTTTTTTTTTTAATTCATCTGTAGCGCGATATTGACTAAATTGTTAAGCTGTTTCCACGTCGTAAGCAAATATCCAAGTTTCATCGCCAGCAATTATACATTTTAAATCATTGTCACTCATAGAGAACAGTTCTTCTGACACTTCAACACGACGTTGTTTCTCAAACAGTGAATGCTACATAAAGTACACTATTTTTTTGGCCACGTTTGAAATTTCAACACAAAACCCAAAGCAAAATTTTAAAAGGTTTATTCTCAGTAAAACTAATTTGTCTTTAGCATACCAAAGCATTTTTGCGAGCCGCACACAATAATAAGTTTACTTAGGAATGTTTGGTTCTGTATGTGTGTGTGTGTGTATTAAAATTAGAGCTGACTTAAAAAGAAAGACTAAAAATCAATATATATTATGCGTTCATATAGTGTATATTCTTCAATACCATTCTCTGCACTATATATCATATGGTGGTACTATGTAACGATTTTCCGAAATCACTTGATTGCTAATTGAAACTTCATTGAAAGTTCATTGTCCGATATGAAACTTCGACTCTTTCCTTAATTGAGTTAATTGTGTGTTTTTTGTTCACCGCGAATAACATTCCAAAAGACAACTAAGTAAAAATAATTTATTGGGCCACCACTCAGCAGTTATTCGTAGAGACAACGACTCCATCCAAAATAATATGTGTTATGGGAAGTGGTCGAAGAAGCCGTCCGATTCGAACTATTCTCAATAGCCCTTCGCGCTTGGGCCAAAAAATGTCATCAAAAAATTTCAAAAATTGCTATACCCATCGATTGAACGCAAGAAAACAAGACAGACAAACGAATACTCAAGCTTAGAACGATTTAGAAAACGGGCCTGAATTGATTGGTATAAAATAACAGGTGGGTCTCTTTCACGCCCTTCTGGGTGCGGCGTACATTCGCGTAAACTGATTATGTCCTGTACCGGAATTTTTCGAGAATATAAAAATGCTTTGAAAGAAGTTTTTATTTAAGCGAACCAAAAGGCGGAAAATAAATTTACTCGCAAATAATTTTAGTCAACTATAAATACAAGTTTCTTGGGGATTTTATAAAAATTCAAAATTCCTACGCGTTAAAGTATTAAGCGCTCCAAGCTTTTGATTGGGACAAAATTTGTTTTCCAGGTTGTAGTTCACTTATGTAAAAGCTATGTAACTATGTATAATCTGTGCCGTATGCTATGCCTTGAAGGAATTTATTTTGCAAACTGATATTCCGTGGTGAGTTGGTGAATAATCACATCGAATCCTAACATCGTCTGACGTTAGAACTTTCACAATTACAAAATTTAAGGTGAAAGACTAAGGCATTGGCACACAAGTTCAAATATTCTTTAAAGCAAAACCAGATAACGTTACATAATATCCGGATGGAAATAACAGAAATTCTAAAGCTTAGTTTGATTAGCGAACACCAATACCAAGTGAAATGATACAATTTTAAATCACGTTTAGATTGTCTAACCGTAATTTCAGTAGACTAAGAATGAAAAACACAAAGTCTCTAATAGATAATAGACATTGATAAGGACTACCTGTGAAGATCTGATCTCTAAACATTGGACATTTCAATACAACTGGTATTATTGGGTGTGAAAAAAAAAAAAAAAACTCCAAGCGTAAGAGAATCTCAAGTGTTTTATCTCTTTCTCTATCTTAAAACATTTTTCTCCTATTATAGATCTTTGTACCGAGTCAACAATAAATTATGCCAGCACACAAGCCTGTAAATGGTTAGCATTTCAATCAAGCGCTCTATTCACCGTTAATGCATACCTGAGAATTGCTATACAGAACAGCTTAAATTTAAAGTTCAAGGTTATATAAATCAACATCAGACAAGGACAATAGATAACAAAGCAAAGAAAACAAAATATATAACATTTCAAGTTAAATTGCTTACGTTGACTAAGTGTGTTAGTAAAAAAATGAAATAAATTTCTCACATTTAACTCTAAAACCTTAGTTGTCGTAAGTACCGATGTTACACTTCCGCAATCCGTATTGCGATTATTGCGCCTACAATTCAAAAAGAAAATCACTGCTGTAACGGAATCTTCTATAACGCACCCCGTTTATTTTAAATAACTAAGAGAATTGCATTCGGCTGTCCCTTCAGCGATCAGATCTTTTATACCTGTAATGTTTGCTCCAAAAAAAGCGGAAAAACTAAATTTTCTCTATACTCTATAAGATTGGGAGGGGGAGACTGATCATTTGCATTTTTGTAGAATATGCGTCTAACTTTTTCTGGTATATTTACGGTAATTTATGCGTAATGAGCAGAAAACCGAGAGAGCACATGTGTTCTCACTTTTTCTTGTACGGTAGGACTAACCTATGATTGATTTGAACCATTTTCGATAACAACCTGCCTGCAACGACATCCAATGTTTTTTTGCCAAGTTTGAGTGCGATATCGTAACGATACCACATGTATTACGTAGATTGCCAAAGGGACAGATCGACGGACTCAGAGACGGAAATTACTTGGATTCCGAATTTGACACGAGTGAAGAGAATATACACTTGGTGGGGCCGTTAAAGCTTTAGCATGTTTCTGCAGATACTATAGGATCGACTTCAGAATATATGGGCATCTGATGCAGTTTATAAATAACGAGCAAAAAATTTGTGTTTTTTTTTTTGCTTTCATTTTCCGTTGCACCGTGCGCGTGTCTTTGGTTTATGCCATATATGAATCGGTTTTTGC